AGTAATTAACGATTTTGCATACTCATTATCGCGTTTATTCCTCCTACGCGCCGCCCGCGCATGCCACAGAGGAATAATCACCGGAAAACCATATCCCCGTAGACTTTAATGCGAAATTGAATTTGCTCGCGCTTATGTACTCGACTTTTCAACTTTTTTGTCCACGTTTTTCTCTTGCACCACTTAACCAATTCGACCGGATGACACGGTTGACTATTTTTGCTTTAGCGTGAAATCTACTCGCTCACTCAACATTGTTAGGTTAGGCGCGGAGCGCCTCAATCAAACAGACCTAGTTAGCTTTCTACAATATCCTGTGCTACAGCGCATTCTAATATGTACATATTATTATGATGATTCCGTCCTAGAATTAAGTGTTAATAATGTATCTATTAATAAAATATATTAAGTCATTTGATGTACAAATTCGCTCGCTCAACATAGTTGGATTAGGCGCGGACCTAGATTAGGCAATCAATCAGACCTAGTGTTACAATTAAATACTTAAAACATACACAGTGGTATTCAGGTGCCATAAAAAATAAGCTCAATTTTTGTCCTCTATTGACCTCTATTTTTGGAACAAAAGAAATATTTAATCACATAATATTGTAATCCTTATTTTTATTTTTCTATTGATGTAAACGAACATTCTTACTTAAACTATTATTGCACAAAAATGTTCTTGATTAATGTTCATGATGTGAATCGTGAGGATTCAAAAATATATTTCGCTCTCTTCAAGTAGGATTTTAAATTTGCCCCTGAACATATGTGTAACACGTGCTAAAACACGTGCAAAGTGTTCAATACGATTCGCTACAAACTTCATAGTTGCGCTTCGTTTTGAACTCGCTCAAACGACTATGCCACATAACTTTTTACGTATAAGCATTTTTGTAGTATAACATTCTTTTAATCGAGTAATTAATACAAGTAATAGATAAAAGTATTATATACTAAAATAAAATGTCGGAAAAATTACGGAGATACGAGAAGATCGATTTCTTGGGAGAAGGACAGGTTAGTTACACAGCATACATCATCCTCAATATTGTCAATATAATTATCTGTTTAATTTCAGTTTGCCACTGTCTACAAAGCTAAAGATATTGAGACTTCTAAGATTGTTGCTGTAAAAAAGGTTTGTTATCATTTTTATATTAAAAATTGAACATTGATTTTTTTACTGATTTATTTGCATTTTAGATTAAAGTTGGAAGTCGTGCAGAAGCTAAGGATGGAATAAATAGGACAGCTTTGAGAGAAATTAAATTATTGCAAGAACTCAAACATGATAACGTAATTGGTTTATTAGGTATAAAATTCTACATTTGTATTCACATCATAGCAGTAAAATGATTTTGCTTAACGTTCATATTTTAATATTAATTTTTCAGATGTTTTTGGCTACAAATCAAATGTCTCTTTAGTGTTTGATTTCATGGATACAGACTTAGAAATAATAATAAAAGATAGTAACATAGTTCTAACGGCTGCAAATATTAAAGCATATATGATTCAAACTTTACAAGGCTTAGATTATCTCCATTATAACTGGATACTTCATAGGGATTTGAAACCAAACAATTTACTTGTAAATGCAGAAGGTGTTTTAAAAATTGGTGATTTTGGTTTAGCCAAATTTTTTGGTTCGCCAAATCGAATAAATACGCATCAGGTGGTGACAAGGTGGTATAGGGCACCTGAATTACTGTATGGTGCAAGACTGTATGGAACTGGAATTGATATGTGGGCAGTTGGTTGTATATTAGCAGAACTTTTGTTGCGTGTTCCATTTTTACCTGGGGAATCTGACTTGGATCAGCTTACAAGAATATTTCAAGTACTACATTTATTACAACTTTTAGCTATTATGAATCATTTTGTCCATCTTTATTTATTTATATACATGATTTTTAGACGTTAGGTACACCTACAGAAGAAACGTGGCCAGGAATGACCGAATTACCCGATTTTATCCAATTTAAGCCTTTTCCTGGCACTCCATTGAAACATATATTTACTGCAGCAGGCGACGATCTCTTAGATTTAATAGCTAGTCTGTTAAACGTGAATCCTTTAGAGAGATGTACGTGTGATCAAGCGCTCCAAATGCCGTATTTTAGCAATAAACCAGCACCCACTCCTGGACCAAGATTACCACTTCCTACGTCTGTAAAACGTCAACCAGAAGAAAAGCCAAGTCTAAAAAGGAAATTATTGGAATCGATGGATGGCGCTTCGCTTGCGAAAAGATTACAGTTTTAACTAGAATTTTAATTAGAATTATAAATTGCTATAAATAGTAATTCACTGTCATTATTTCTATTGTATGTACATCTTATGATGAGTTACTGAGTAGTACGGAATTCGAAAAAATACAGAGAAATAGATTAATTCGTGTAAATACATAATGTATAGACTGAAACCACGAAATACTTAATATTAAAATAGCTTGATTTTATACATTAAAATTAAGGCATTGATACTGTATTTTTGTTACAAAATTATTACATAAATGATAAAAATTAAAGTCATACATGAAATGTATAAATGTTTTATATATCATACGCTTTTTTTATATTCGCAAAATATATTATCTACTATGTAGATAAAATTAAGATAGGACGGGAATGTTACAGGTTGAAATAATACATACATATTTGAAAAATACAACATTATGCTGCATTACTTTTATTAACTTAAAAACTAGTAAGAAATGTTTGATACGTGAACAATTTTGTAACTTGTGAAATATTAAATTTCAATAGCATAAAGAGGTAACTCGTTGATAACAAATTATTAAAACTGTAATCGCATTTCGTAGCATTTTTGCAGCAACTTTCAAATGTTCGCTTTTCACAATAAGTACAAATATTACCAAATCTTATTTTTCTTATTTCTGTCTGATGATCCACCAACATTTTTCTCGTGAATAAAACCTAGATTATAAATAAATAATTCTTTGTTTCTTATTCCAAATATCTACTTTATAGATAAAAACACATATTCTTCTAAATTTGATGATGCTTTTGCATTTCTCATCTACGATGGGCTTGCAGACAATTTTTATACGAGTACTGCTCACGGCTGATCGTATTCTTTTCCAATCAGCTTCTAATATCCGTGCACAAGTTCAATACATATGTATTTATTACACACATATATAAACCTACTCAATACTGATGGGTAACAAAAACAATACAATTTAGTGAAAATACAAATTATACATATCTTATATTAATGCACATATCAACATGAGTTAGCTACCTCTGAAACTGATGAAAGTGTTTCACATTAGAATCATAAGAATAGATTGAATTTCATATTCCGATATATATTACATAAAGCTGTAACAAAATTTGTTATATTATACACATAGTTACATTAAAAGCATAAATTAAGACGATCTGTGCATTTAAATACTGAAGCAACATTTAATATTCTGTTTATACATCGTGTTAGATCCTGAAATAGAGATGCGAAGGTGAAAGTTCTATATAAATCAAAAGATGACCATTTTACTGTAAGATGTGTCAGATGATTACTGCCACATATTTAATATGTAAACAAAAATAAGTTCCAATGTTTGAATAGATTATGTTAAATTTACTTTCAATTTTTATTCAAAAGAATCAAAAAGATCTGACAAGTATTTTAAAATTAAGTTTGTATATTGAAACACAAGTAATCTTCTAAAACATCTTACAATGTATAAATGATAATTTTTTCTAACACATTGTACTGTGGTCCCTCTTATTCAGACTGAACTATAATAACTATATAATACCTTTTCTGAATGCGTATGTACCAATGTTTGCCAAATAAGATCATGAGAAAATTAGAAACATGCGGGTAATTGAATTTGTCAAGCCAACTTGAAAAACGGCAAGCAAATTCGAGCAAGAATTCGAGACATGTAAAACCTTAGATAGCCCGATTACATTTGTGGAAAAACGGAGAAATTGAGATTTGACTCCAATTTGACACAACATCGATAATGGAGTTACCGAAGATTCGTATTGACTCGATCTAAATGTGAAATGTTGAGTACCCGCACATTTCTAAAAACAATATAAGAATCATTATTGAAGTGTAATCTCGCTACATGGGTACTTCTCATATAGTCAGTTGAGCGAGTTTCCTAACATACAGATTTTCAAATATACACATGTTTGGCAAGATGCTGCTGACACTACATAGCAATTTTATTTATTTGATTCTTCCCACAAATTTTTCCGGTCTCACAGGCTTCAGAGCCATATAGCGAAATTCCACTGTACTATTTTCCACTTCAGTGACACCGAGAATATGCAAAAGAAAATTTGAAAATAATCGAAAAAAAATATTTATATAATTCTATTAAAAGAAAATCTGAAAAAATAATTATTACTAAATCTGTTCTTTCAATGATTTATGCACTAATATCTCTCTATGTTTTTGTACAACATAAATCTGTTCTTTCATGCAACTTATTTACACAGAAAAATAATACACTTAAAAGTAGATTTTACTGTACATTATATATATATATATATGTATATATGTATATATACTTAAAACAATATTTAACTTTGTAAAAGTGATATTACACAGAGTGTTGTATAATATCAGAAAACATTTTTTAATATAATTGAAAAGTTAACCCGTTTTTTCTTATATTTCAATGAATTCATTGAAAACATAAATGAATTAATTTATTTATCGTTTATGACATAGTATCGTGTAATTTGAGCATAATAACTCCATGAATTGAAAAAACAAAAATTTTCATTCGATGAATCAATGTGTTGTTTGATAATATATTCCATTTAAAGTCACCACCGCTTTAAATGTGACATAGTAATGTGATAGATAGACTTAATGATTTTATTTTATACACTATTTGCCTATCCTGCGTGCATTTTGCAAGGAACATCGTATTCAATAACATTAGTTTTGTTTTAATATGCCCTTTCCTGCATGGCCCTACACGTGTAACGTGTTTGTAAGACTTTATTTCCTTTTATTCAGTGGGGCTTAAATTTTAAATAGGATGCATTGTTCAATATACAATTAAAATAAGATATATCAGAAATAGCACATAGGACATAGTATCATGAGATTAAACAAAAAATAGAATTTTCAAAGTATCCATATGTATATAAATATTAAAAAAGAACAAAAATATAATTTAATTTAAATAATAAACGTTACAATGGGATAAGATATTATCGATTACATATAATATTTTTATGTTTTTTTAATTGCTGTTATTAACTGTATTATTGTCTTATATTAGCATCCCATCAAGAACACGTATTTGAAAAATCGTTGAAAATAATTATTTACCAAACATGAAATATAATGAAGATTTAACAATTGCACATAACAGCAAGTACAATTGCTTCTTTCTTTTTTTAAATTATACTATGTCCTAAGCAACATTTTTTTAAGCAATAGTCAATGCGCAGTCTATAGAGCACATGCAGCAGACAAGTTGCTCTGGCGTTTCGTTTCTAGACATTTGATTCAGTATTTAAAGTAACATATATAACAACATATGCAACCAACAACATGTTATGACTACCTTACAATGCGTATTTTCCTTAATTTCTTATTTTTTACATTAAGTCAATATATACCATAATTTTTAAACAATATCAATTGTTCTTTTTTTTACACTGAAATTTGTAGCAATCTTGTAATCTATTAAATTAAAAATTTGAACATAATTCATAGAATCATATACATTTTGCAATAGCTTCGAATACGAATCATGCAAATTTTATTTAATGCAAAAACAACATTGCTTAACATTGTTTAAAAATCATGGTATTTAGATTCTAGAACAAAGATGTCATTTGCAAATGAAAATGAAACTATACCCATTTAGAAATTTAAAATAAGTATACATACATTACAATATAGCTGTCCATAATAATAATATCACATCTCCAAATACTACTTAGCACGAAGTGTTACAAAATAAATGTATATATAAATCATTTTAGACGAAAAATATAGGCGGTGCAACTTTTAGGTAACTATCATTTTGTCTCGAGTGTAAAGAAGAATATATTTTTATCATTTTTCTAGTGCGAACAGTTTAGCATGGTATATTTTTGTTTCCAATATCGAAGATCATTCCACAACTTTCTTTTATAAATATGTGTAAAATATTCTTCAGTCCATTCGTGTCATTATTGAAAATCCAACTTCAATTATAAAAAAATTCAATTAACATTTCAATTCTTGATCTATTCGTTTCACTTTGGCAACATATCATTTTTCATCTCGAAAAAAAGAACTCAAAAATATTGTTTTAACAAAGTAAACTTATAAGAAGAATTAATTCCATAACATTAAAATATATTAACTCATTGAATTTTTTCATTTGACGACATTTTTGTTTTATAATATGTGTATTTATATAACGACAAAGGAAAACAAGATAAAACATAGCAATCTTATTGTTCGAGCTTTTCTCTCCATTACTGACTTTTGATCATTATATGATACCAACAAAATTAAGTTTATACATGTATTTTTCTAGTAGAAAAGAGAAAAATAGAAAAGCAATCGAATTCAAATAAAATAAATAATTTAACAATTTGTTAATAGACGAAGCTAGTAAAGAAGAGAATGTAATAACACGATGTCATATGCTATCTTGTATAAATAAAACGAATGAAATATCATTGCAATGTGAAACACTCTGTGTAGCTTCTTGATTAGGCACAATGTTCGAAAGCAATAAATTCCTATGTTTCTGTTCAAATAAAAAAAGTTTCTTTGTGGAACACACTTTCCTGATACAGACTAAATCTCCCTAGAATTCATTAGAATATTAAAAGTAGAAATACATATTTCATTGTTACTACTGTTTTTTTACTTTATTACGTTATATATATATATTCAGTAGTCAGTCCAAGGCAAACATTATTCGCAATAGTATAATATAATATAGCTACTATTTTCATATCTTTTTAAATCGATCTACCTATATATTACTTTCTTTTAAAAAATGTATACTTAACATTTAATATAATATATATATATATATATTTAGATATATATAGATACATATTTACACCAATGAATATATATATATATCTATACATATCTCTTTAAAATATTTACAGTCAATATTATGATACAATAATTTTTAATTGTTTCTTATATTTATACTTTATAAAGGCAATTATTATCATAACTATAGTCCTTATGTATACATGTATATGTATAATGTATCATGTAAACATGTTTTTTACAGCAACCAAGTTCGTACTAGGACAATATATAATACAAGTAGGGACATTACATGACTTTGACACCTCTACACGTATGTACACAGGAAGTGTCATGATCATACAAATTATATTTTATTTTATTATTGCATTGTATTTTAATGCCAATGTTCCTTTGAAGAATATTCGTTTTTGGAAAGTAACATTTCAATTCTTTGCAATAGTTCTATATTTGATTCTCGCGCATGCTAAATTTGAAATTACAATTTTTAAAAATATTCAAATGTAGCATGCAGAGCGACACTGGTTTACCATTACCATGGACCTTACTAGACTGATACTTCTATTCACAACAACGCATTAGCAAGTAACAGCAAAGTGATTAATTTCAACCAATAGTCGAACAATTAGTTAGAGGCAGCAAGAAGATAAACAGCAAGTCTTACATTTTGATCGCCATTAAAACTTTCTTATTTTCTTTTCATCCGCGTTCGAAGCAAAATGTATAATCATAAACCAACCTGTGCATTTTTATTAATGTGCACTATTTAAAAGTTCATTAGAGGTCATTAATAATGATTCAATGAGCTGTAACCTTTAGATCAATTTTATTCGAGACTCTTCATTCACGGAACAAAACACATTAATTCTTTATACACGGAAAAATAATTACGTGAAATCAAAATTATCTATTCTTATTAATATTCAACAAAATTAAATTTAAACTTTGTTCGTTAATCAGATTTTATGAAATTCAAGACTGAATGAAAAATATCAATGTAATACGAAATATAATTATGCTAGACAAAAATCTAATTAAGAGCTTCGAATAGTTGATCTTGTACAAAAAATGCAGTTTATTAAAACGATTTATAACTAACAATAATTTTTGGTGATAAAAGAAATAGTACCTCTCTATAGATGCTGGTATGTAAAATTTCTTATGCAAACAATTAATACTTTATTGTCTTATGAAATTCGATTACTTAAATCCTCTGTAAGCATTAATACAAAAGGTTAAATTTAATATGCTAGCAAATATATTTTAGTTATTGCAATACCTTTACACAAAAAGTCTGTATGTTACGTGTAATTAGAAGCGACTGTAAACATAACAGAACTTGACGGGCTAATATCCCATTCAGAAAATTGATTGACTGATAAAATAAAAATCTGTTTGCAAAATTTGAGTGATTCCGTTGTACAATGCTGCTATATTAGCTTAACAAACGATTCGTACGAAATTTAGTAGACGGCGGAAAGACTTACAATATAACGTCCAGATTAAAGATTAATAGTATCCAATGTGTGCGAATTTTTTGATGCATTATCCTTTGGTGACGTCGTGGCAACATTAACTTGTTTGTTGGTATTGTTCGTGAATGGCATGGCAAACTTAAAATCTGCACCGTTTGGTAATTTTCGCATAATCTTTCCAGACGTGATGAGTCTGCCAAAACCTTCTTGATGCGCGAAAGCGTATCCAGAACGTACAGATTGTCGCGTTCGTTTCGTAGACGGAGTACGAAGTATATTTTGACTTTGGCGAGAACGAAGTTGCGCCAACCTCTGTTTAAGCCTAACTCTGTCAGACAATGTTGGCCTAACATCTATGAAGAAGAATCGCCACGAGAGTACAGGTATTACCAATATGATACAAGAAATGACCGCCGTGAACCAAAACGTTGCTTCGGACATTGCCTAAAATAGTGTATATAAATATTATCATTCACATTATTACTAATAGTATTAGGTCTGCCGGAAAGTTTTGTCCAGGTGTATGGTTTAAAAAAGCATTAATAGAACTGACAGAAGTTTCCGACTGACCAAATATTTTTGCAAGATAACGTACCATTGTAAGACTGCCAACATAACTACCACCTATGACGAAGTTATAGAAATAATCTAAAATAAAATACCAAATGAGTGAGCCCCAAACCATAATATGATTAACAATCGTCCAATACGACGTATCAAGGGCTATTTGAACAGTCACGACTATGACTAATATGGTGGCTACAACACTTCCCAGCAACATATGATCAGAAAGTACATAGCCCTTTGGTGATACTCCATCCTTATATGTCCCTAAAGATGTACACTGTATTTTAAGTATCTTTAATGATTAATAAAATGAATATATATTATTGAAACTTACCGTATGGAACCAAAAATAATACACAACTAGCAAAAAAACCGTGTATAGCACTCCAGCAAAATTCCTTTTTATTAAAAAGTAAATTTTGTAATCCGGGTGCGTAGAGTTTTGGATACATTAAACTATTTTTATCGTCAACATCTTGATCGAATATACCAACTGCCATTACAGGTAATGATGTATAAAAGAGATTGTAGACAGAAATGTACATAGGATCGAATACAGTCTGCAAAGAAACGTATACGTGTAAAAATACGAGAGAGAATTATTCTTAGAAAGGGAAATAAAAAAATTTGATTAAAAAAAATCAGAATTAATTAAACGTTCATATTCCCAATACTCGACTTTGGATTTAGCTAATCGACAAAGGAATTTTGTGAATAACATTCGCCTTATATTCATCATTTTGTGACTACACCGCATTTCAAAACAACTGACGATATAAGAAACCGTACCTGTGCACTGAATCCACAGAAAAATGCAAACCAGATGTGGCACAATGTAAACGCAAAGTTCTTGTAAAAAAAATATCTGAGAAATTTGCTCATTCTATAATACGACCATCTGCCATGAACAAGAAGCAGTCTTTCCAAAAATCTGAACTGCCCTATCGAATAATCGGATGCCAACACGGCCTGCAATCCTTCTTGACCACTAATGCCAACGCCTATATGAGCTGTTTTTATCATTGAGACATCGTTAGCTCCATCACCAATTGCTAAAGTTACTGCATTTTTATTTTTCTTTATTAGCTCGACGACCATTGCTTTCTGTAAAGGTGTTACTCGACAACATATCACAGCTTTACCTGTAACATTTCAAAATGTGCATATGGAGTGTTCTATTCTAAAGTACAATGAGTAGAGAAGTTGTGAATTTAGTTGTTAGGTTAATAACTTACATTGGCTTGATACATCAAGGAATAGTTGTTCAAGTTGTGGATGTAGAGCATGAACCAAGGAATGCCCATTAATAACTACTGCAAATCCAGTTGCTTGTTCCATTTTTTGTTCATCTTGCTCATCCCTGCTAGGATTGTATTCAGTATCGCTGCTGTATATGGAAAATACAATGTACAGATAAAATAAAAATACTTTCAGCTAAAGAATATGATTTCGCTTCAGTAGAACTTTAGATTCTTCAGTATCGAGATTCAGTTTTTGCAAGGACCGTAAAAAGTTTCATTGGATGTAACGGATGATAAAATATTGAATCACTTGCAGAATAAAAGAAGAAATTTGATTGATAGGTATGTAAAAGTATTGATCTCGGCAGGAATATAAAAGTGATGCTTATCGATTATAAACAATACACACAGTGCACTGTCTCCATGGACTACTAATAACGTGACATAAGCAACATACTTGTTGTGTTATTATTTATCATCACTAAGATTAATTTTAAGCATACAGAAAGAGAAGGAGTGAGTATCAAGCACATGGTAATTGTCATTATTCATTTCGACTAATTAATATTAACACAAAATCATAGAATAATTGGAAATAATATGAAACAAAAAGTTGAGGTATTTGAGAAAGAGACTAGTATCTAATCTACTTGTATCGAAATATCTACATTATAAGTAGAAGAATTGACAAGCATAAGATAAACGGTTGTAATACCTCAGTTATAATAAAAACTGAGGAAGAATAATACTTATTATTCTGTACAATTTTAATATTTCTATTATATATAAATGTCTTTAAATTTGCATGCAAATATATATATTTAACTGTATATGCTTCAATGTTCTGAAAGAACTTAACTCCGAATATTATTCATATATAAAATATTGGATAAAAATAATATAATCGGTGCGATTATAAATTACTAACGTTTTTACAATCTCATAAGTTGCATGCCAATAGTCGAATCGTTTTATAATTCTTGATAGAAAATTTATGATCCTTCGATTTTCATTATAATATCCTTTAACTTGAATTTCATTATGTTAATCTAATATAGAGTAAAGAATTGAATTTGAAATGCTTATAAATTTAGGCATAACCAGACAAAGAAAGCATTACACAGAACATGATGCCACATTCAGCATGAAAGAGAAATCCTTTAAATAAATGCGTTAATTAGTCAGATTTAGGTATGGAAAAAGTTAATGATTGTACTCCGTCTCTTTCATGTGCCTGACCTTTCCTTGTCCCACCTGAATGTGACGACGGAGAGAGTTGGCCGATTTTCCTGACTGGACGCTGTTTTGATAGTTTCTAAGTATCGCGATAACTGATTTTCAACACCATCATAGGTGGTTGCATCTACTATAAAAACGTCGGTAAGGTCGTCTGTCAACAACTGGCAGGAATAACCGATATTAATAGCCGTTTCTGTGGAGAAATAAAATATATTATATTATATCATACTTCACGTGCTGTTTCCAAGTAAATCTACAGGATTTGGATGGAACAAGAAAATATCAAGTTAAGATTTAAAATAAGTTCTTGTTTGTTTATGAATAAGTCTTTCTTCTATCCAAATCCTTGTTGTGCATTTTATATTTTACCTTGCTTGTCACCAGTTAACACCCAGATCTTGATGCCGGCAAGAGCTAAATTAGCAATGGTTTGAGGTACACCGTCCTGTAGCTTATCTTCAATGGCAGTAGCGCCCAATAAGGTCATATCTTTTTCTATTTCCTCGTAAATTGCATCCAATTTGTCGTCCCTGTTCTCTTGACTAAGGGCAGCTTCTTGATGACGTTGTTTCCAATCGTTGAAAAATTGCTCATCTAAATCTCTGACCGAAAGGCACAATGTTCTCAAGCCCTCACCCGCGAATTTATTAAGATGTTCCAACGTTTTTGCCATAATATCCTCGCTACCTTTTTTCAATCTTTCATAAATAACGTTATCCGCTCCTTTACAATACAGTCTGAGATGTCCGTCCTTCCTCAAAATTACCGACATTCTTTTCCTAACGTTATTGAAGTCAAGAATACAAAGTAACTCGTATATTTCTCGTTTTCCCATAACTTCTATCGTTATACTATTTGGAGATCTTTCTTTGAATACAAAACCGAAGTTTCTCGCTGCCGATACGAGAGCAGCTTCGTCCGGTGATTGTGCTTGATATTCTAGCTTGCCATTCTTTTCCTCCGGCATGACGGTGTGACAAAGTGCCAGTAGTCGAAAGAAACTATGAACATCCTCGTTGTTACATCTCACAGCATCAAGTAGCGCGGAATCATAGAATTTGAATTCTGGCTCGTAATCCTTGTTGAAGGAGAAATCCAACGATGGCATTGTCTGTAAACGAGGTTAAAAGGGTACTTAACGATCACCTTTCATTTTACCCGATTACGAATGTTAGTACAACACACCACAATATATATTTATGGAAATGGAAATACTAGAAATCAAAGTAAATACCTTGCCTCCATATAGATAGATTTGTTGTAAGTCAACAGGCACATGAGACGTTATAATTTTATAATTCCTTAAAGCATCGTGAAAATTAGTGTTCGAGATTTAAGCGAGTTAGGAATGCTCGAATCGGAAAACAAGGTGAAGTAACAGCATGCATCTAATACGTAAGAGAGACGAGAGGAAAGTTGCAAGATTGCAAAAGTAATTGAACTTCTATAATGTACACGACATCTAACAATAGCAAGGTACAAGAATAGAACACATGTGTAGGACAATGGCAGAATAGGATAAGCAAAAGCGTTTCAAGACATTTCCTTCATTGTTGGAAGAAGTGCATTAATATTATCATGCGTACTGAACGGTTCTGTGGAATCATCGGGCTGCCATAGACGCCTGGGTCTCCAATTATATTGGATATCCTGTCCACCTGTTCCAGTAGACGTACGTTTGGACCACTTATTGGTGTATAAACTTGAACAAATTCTTGTCCATTTTTCCATCGCATCGTAGGTGTTCGGGCAGCTTTGTCCGTCTACATGCAGCACACACATGCTAAGTGATGTACATGAAAACTTATGCAAAGTATGGCCAAACTGTGAAATGATTCTATTGTTCCAATCTTGTTACCAAGAAAAAATTTCTGAACCACACGCATTCGCAAACAGTTTTAATTATATTCTTTCTTGATAACAAACGTGAAATGAATGGATTTGATGAACCGAATTCGTGTAACGAACAATTATTTAAATCTTATCAAAACGTAAATATCTGTGACTTAAAAATCTAACAAAAATCATGTCTGATCAAACATTTCTCACAGAAAAATGACTTGTCTTCTTTTAGCTCTTCTCGGTTCAATAAATTGTTTATATTTCCGGTGACAAGTGTGTACATTACGGAGAAAAGATTGAAATAATAATAACGTTGCGGAAGAAACTGTGATCGCAATAAATTATGTCGTTGCAAAAACAATTACACGTTGAACTTAAAAATAAAAATTGTACAATTATAAAACATTGAAAAGCAAGAAAAAACAATCGACTTTGTCATACTGCAAACAATTCAATAATAACGTACCCCACATTATCCGCATCGAGTCTGATCGCGGATAGAAAGGTAAACAGACTCACCTCGCTTAAATCGACGACTTCCCCGGTAACCTCGTCGATAACATCCCCATAACACTTTCCTGCTATAGAACACTTGTTAAAAGTCATAATGTTTTGCGTCAATGTTCCGGTCTTATCGGAAAATATATACTCTATTTGCCCCAACTCCTCATTTAACGTGGTAGTCCTTGCTTTAGCGTGTGTGTTCGTTGGTGCATGGTACATTTCTTCGTCCCAGTTGATCAAAAACGACTGAACGAACCTGATGACTTCGACACTCACATACAAACTTATTGGCACCACTGTGTTCAATACGATAGCATAAGAGAAGAACACAAGTAGCGCGATCACTGTGGCACCACCCATAGGCTCGCTAGGCACCAACGAGTCCCAGGGTAGATACACTTGGAAATAACGGCCCACTAGGCTTTCCCAAATACCACAGCCGATCATACAGAATAAACACATTGAAAGTAAAAAGAACACTATCCCGATGATGAGAAGATTCAGCAGCCTATCTATCGAGGTCCTTTTAAATTTTGTTTTCCCTGAGTTTTGCATCAATTTGGTATCCTTGCCTGCAAAGATGACCACACCATAGCACCATTGCGTGTTTCGAAGTACGCAACCTCGTAATATAATTTTATCGTTGTCCAATGCGAATCTGTAATAATTATTACGCACGATTTAATATACGAAAAATAGAGCAAGCTATAACAGTATCAAAGAAGCCTAGATGTTATTCATCAGGTTAACATGTTTGTTACAAATTTCTATATTCTTCCAACTTTTCAAATTATGAACTTTTATCTAATAGAAAAGTAACACCGAGTATACCTGACCTGTATTTAAACCAATATTTTTCAAGGGAACAGCTTCTTTAAATTTGCACAAAGGAGATGTATACTTACTTTCGTCCTTTCCACGTAAGAGTACCATCGAATTTATTTAACAGATTATTAGGAGTCTCGCAAACAATCTCTCCATCAAATTGACCGATCAATTCATGATTATCCATCATTTCAGCAGTCTCAGCCAAACACTGCCGACACTTTAAATTAGTCTCCCTGAAACAATCAATCGTACCGTGACTTTATCGCTCTAATTTAAATTTATAACTTTAGGAATGCAACAACATAGCAGGAACAATTTGCCAACAATCAATCGTAATAATTAGATACACATATATAATACATTTGATTCATAAAACACTACTGACCCATCTAATTCCGCGGTTTCAATGTAACAAAGACCATTTGGCTCACTAGTAGATAAAAGAAGGACGTCGGCTGCAACGAACTGATCATTTTCCATTCTGATCACATCGCCTACTTGCACTTGCGACCATTTCTCTTCGCGTAGACTAGTTCCTCGCAGTGTTTGAGACTTTCGATTGTTCACCTGCGAATCGCTGCTGTGCCGTTGCTGAAAAATCACATTGCAGATCGCATAAAGAGTCTCTTACTAAATCGAATTCCATGCATTCTGTACAATGAACAACATTCTCGAATATATCTTATCACGAGATTTCTATGCATTCTGTGCGTTATGCGATAAATTTATGCATTGCTAAAATATGCATAACATTCTCAAAATCGACTTCCTCTATAAATTGAAATATTCGGAGAAATATGAAATATCTTGCAACTCTACGAAATAATGCACGTAGTAACCTTAATGTATTAAAGTTTAAGTTAAGAAAAATTTTTAAAGCGTGAAAGGTCTTTACAAATGAGAGCAACAAAATGGAGAAGTGAAAACGGTATTACATATGGTATCTTATCTAATGTAGAGATGTTTATATAATTTGTAGAATTGTTGAATAACTTACAAAATCGTCGTAGGCATCTTTGACGGCAGTGAGCATGAGCACCCCTATAAGGGGTATGGCTGTAGTGATGGGGGTCAAGGAGGAGATAGCGGGGATCATCTGAAGCACCAGCAGGCATAGGAAGTAAAAGTTAGCGAGCCGCTGAAATTGCTCGAACAAATTTAATGGTAGGAACGTCAGAACCGAATACTTGGACGTCTTGATGTAGTTGTTCTACAAAGGAAGAATAAAAGAAAAATATAAGATGCATTTCGACAAAGGTCTCCTCGCAATTCAACCTTTTTATTACGGCGTACTTCAACAACACGTCCATTGTGTTATGACGAGTTTGGAACTTTGGCATTCTTAATATTTGCATGTTGACATTTTTACATGTACAGAGTTTTTCATTTTGAGACAAATTTTTAGATCTTTGAGATTATAGAAAGTAATTACAATTTGATCAAGAAAAATTTTTGTAAGTGGATCTTGATTTATAAAAGTTTGTGAGCTTGTACACGTCGGACAATTCTGCACTTTGCACGTGTTCCATAAGGAAAAGGTTAATGATTGCAGGAAAAAGAAATAACAGAAACGTCATACGTTACCGCATAATTAAACTGTGAGTTGAACTCGCGGTTATTGGCGCGAATTCTCCTCTCCGTTTCTGAAAGAGAGAAAAGGAAATATTAAATTATAAAACGATGAAAGACTTTAACGCGATCAAGAAAATAATCGATGATTCTCATTAAACGTTCTCCGTATTATTTCTTTTGTGTAACACTTCTAATTAAATTACATAAAATAAAAAATGTTCATTAATTCCAGTAATTATTCTCTTCCATTAGTTAGACAAAACATAAAGAAGAGCTTAGAAGGAGAGGTTAATAGTCTGTTATTATATTATAAAACCTACCGGAAGTCGCGAGCAATTATTACACACGAAGGAAACTGTCAAATGATGTTTCTGCATCGGTAAACTAAATAATAATGCACTATTATGAAACGTGGATGAATGGAAAGCTATAAATTAACCTCTATGATTTGAAACAAGTGGCTTATATGCAGAAAATATTCGATAATAATGAACAAATTAATTTGATCTGGTAATTTAAAACGAAGAATAATATGTAAAAATAAATTTGAAACAATGCATAAATGTGCTCGCTTCAAGATACAAAATTAAATGGTTAATAATACAGTAGTCCTACGCATCGTACATTCGCGAGTAATTAAAAACTGAATAAACAAAACGTTAAATGCAGGGAAGTAGCCGTCTATCGTACGAAAAGTGCTTTTTACCTGTCTGATAGCATGGGTTGCATTTTACGAACGAGATGCATTACAAGATTACGTAGAGTCAACCGGGTTGATTAATGTGTAACATTTTTCTTGCTCTCACACATTATCGTAAATGTACATACATTAAATGTTACCATCTACTAAGAATCTAATTATAGCGTTGATGCAGCACAAATTCTGAATATAAATGATTACCTTCACACAAGGTACTTTAAAATATAGAGAATATGAAATTTAATTCTTCGTAGTTACAATTTATCGGGCTAAGATTACTAGCTTAACATTTTAGGGTTAAGACTGCATCCGGATCATTGCATTGTCGTTACAATATTTACATGAACTATATGAATATTTAATTTTATGTTCGACCTCGGTGCTATTACGTAACGAAAATTCGTTCACGATATTAAGATAAGTTCCAAAAGCGATCGCAACATCTGTGATATATAACAGAGGAAAAAAGTAACGAGCTAAATATATCGTTCAAATCAGTGCTGTCTACGTTGGTACCTGCAGTTAAGCTGAGCCGAAAGCTGCTCCGACTCATCTTGGAGGCAATCGTGTTTATTAATATCCACTTCTCGGATATGATAGTCGCGTGAATGAAATCCTAAAGTTCAAGCCTCCTAAGCGTAGAAATTGTACGATTTTAATTTTAACGCTCCAAGTTTAGAATTCATCGTTAACTTGTCGGGTTAGGTTTAAGTCAGAGTAAACAGATACTGAAGCGGTGTTAGAATAGGCAAAGCTTCGAGTATCTTTGAAAGATACTTCGAAGGCATCTGGAAAATCGAAGCTGGGCATCTGGATTTCCTGACATAGACAGCGCTGATCCCTAAATTCCCTATCGAACGGCAGGTAACTCACCGCTCGAAAAAAAGGATGTGCTACGGCCGATACACTCTGTAGCGGGCGGTGAATTGGGTGGCGCCGAGGATGAGGAAGAAGCAGCGGTGGCCGAACGGTATCTGGTGCCCTTCCAGATCACCAGCTTACCCAACACCGTGAGCAAAGATTCCCGAAGGGTGTTGTGCCTGCTGGCACCACCCAGGCTGCTGGACGAGTCCCTTTTCGAGCATTCGCCGACCGCCTCGACTTCGTCCGAAGACGATGGCAGGTTCAGCACGGTGTGCGCTTGCGGACCGTCCTCGGACGGATCCTGAGCTAGCTGCTGCAGCTGCAGCTGCTGTTTCTTCCGTGTTTTCCGACGTTTCTTCTTCTTTCGTCGGGTACCGCCGTTCTCCTCTTCGTTGCACACCGATGCCGCGGTCGCCGATCCCTTCCGGCTACCTTCCGCGTCTGATTTCGTTGTCGTACACGCCACCGAGACTTTGTCGTCTTCGTCGCAGTCCTTCACCTTGATCATTACACGACAACCATTGCGTTACCAGACATCACGATGGACCCGTGAACGATTGGTCGAGGACACGCCGTTTGACACCGGCGCACTTTTTCCGTGGTTCTTTTTATCTATTTTTCTGTGTAGTTTTGAACTTTTTGATTCTGGGTTATGATAGGAGGTCTGTCCCTGAATTTTGATATTACTAGATCTCAATGTCTAGATATACTGAAGTTTTTAATGTAGTTGATGTCCTTAAATTTCAATGTCCCTGGGTTCTTAATCTTCATGGATTTTTAATTTTATTATTTTTATAATTTTTTAAGATTTTCAATATTTCTACATTCTTCGTATGTACGGATCTACGTCTCTTTGGATCTGTGAGATCTATGACATCCCTAGATTCCAGTATTCCTAGATTTATGCATTAATTCCTGTATTTCTAGTTCCCAATATCTATGAACTCGTAACATCTCTAGATCTTCCAATAGTCCTAAACTACCAATAGAAGTGGATTTCCAATATATCTGGTTTCTCAATATTAGTGTATTCCCCATATCCCTAGATCTCCATATCTGTAGATCTCTAACCTCCTAATATTTCTAGATCACCTTCCAATATCCCTAGAATGCCAATAACGGTAGATTCTCCATATTTCTAGTTTCCCAATATCTGTGTATTCCCCATATCCCTAGAGTTCCAATACCTCCAAATTAAAATCTTCCTAGATCCTTAAATCACTATATTTACCCTAATATCCCTAAATTCCCAATAATCTTGCAATTCCAATATCTCAATTAATAGCTGAAAATACCGATATTCCTGGTTTCCACTATCGCAATATTCCTAAATCCCTAGATTCTTATATTTCTACTCAAATTATAGTCTCCATAGACGCCTGAAGTTATTGTCTTTATAACAACATACAATTTCATTTATATTGCGAATAAATAACTATCGATGATACGATTAAATTTCTTCAAGAACGCATAGCGATAACATTGATCGGATATTCGATATCGGTTCCATAAACTTGATGAATTAATACGTTTCTTCTTCTTTCGTCGGGTACCGCCGTTCTCCTCTTCGTTGCACACCGATGCCGCGGTCGCCGATCCCTTCCGGCTACCTTCCGCGTCTGATTTCGTTGTCGTACACGCCACCGAGACTTTGTCGTCTTCGTCGCAGTCCTTCACCTTGATCATTACACGACAACCATTGCGTTACCAGACATCACGATGGACCCGTGAACGATTGGTCGAGGACACGCCGTTTGACACCGGCGCACTTTTTCCGTGGTTCTTTTTATCTATTTTTCTGTGTAGTTTTGAACTTTTTGATTCTGGGTTATGATAGGAGGTCTGTCCCTGAATTTTGATATTACTAGATCTCAATGTCTAGATATACTGAAGTTTTTAATGTAGTTGATGTCCTTAAATTTCAATGTCCCTGGGTTCTTAATCTTCATGGATTTTTAATTTTATTATTTTTATAATTTTTTAAGATTTTCAATATTTCTACATTCTTCGTATGTACGGATCTACGTCTCTTTGGATCTGTGAGATCTATGACATCCCTAGATTCCAGTATTCCTAGATTTATGCATTAATTCCTGTATTTCTAGTTCCCAATATCTATGAACTCGTAACATCTCTAGATCTTCCAATAGTCCTAAACTACCAATAGAAGTGGATTTCCAATATATCTGGTTTCTCAATATTAGTGTATTCCCCATATCCCTAGATCTCCATATCTGTAGATCTCTAACCTCCTAATATTTCTAGATCACCTTCCAATATCCCTAGAATGCCAATAACGGTAGATTCTCCATATTTCTAGTTTCCCAATATCTGTGTATTCCCCATATCCCTAGAGTTCCAATACCTCCAAATTAAAATCTTCCTAGATCCTTAAATCACTATATTTACCCTAATATCCCTAAATTCCCAATAATCTTGCAATTCCAATATCTCAATTAATAGCTGAAAATACCGATATTCCTGGTTTCCACTATCGCAATATTCCTAAATCCCTAGATTCTTATATTTCTACTCAAATTATAGTCTCCATAGACGCCTGAAGTTATTGTCTTTATAACAACATACAATTTCATTTATATTGCGAATAAATAACTATCGATGATACGATTAAATTTCTTCAAGAACGCATAGCGATAACATTGATCGGATATTCGATATCGGTTCCATAAACTTGATGAATTAATGGCGGCGGTTTCTATTTTCTTCCAATGTTTGCTACGTTTCGAGGAGAAAGGAAAACAAGCTAACTATACACGCGGGAGCCAGATCTGTTCTACCGAAAGAAAATAGAAGGTGAAATACAGCGTACAATGAACGTTTAACGTTTTCCACATGCTAAGAATGCATTATCGAATTTACTCTTCATCGGATATAACTTGAAAAGGCTACAGAAATTTCATAAACCAGAAAAAGATTTTATCGGCTCCATGAAGAAACCTTTGTAAGAATTTTATAAAGATTCCATTGTTATTCATAAATTACCATTTCAAAGCGTTCTGATATTATGGAAAATGGAAATTCCTTTTTTGTGAAGTTTTAATGAATATTTTCTGCGTTACAATCGATTATGAAAGTGTTGAATAAAAGAATTTTCAAAATGAACGAAAAAATGTATATACTATTGTGAACTGAACGAGCATTCGTAAGATGCATGTCATTGTTTCATACATAAGAAAGTATCGATTAAGTTTCTACTTTTCGTAGTCTACGGTTGGCATTTGCATCGTTTATGCAACGGGTATAGAAAAATGATTAAATATTATCGATGCTCCAGAAAGTGTATTTGAAAACTGGTTCAAAAGTGAGAATAGCAGGAATGGACGACCGAGTGCGAAAATGTGTCATGGACAGTGTGAAACAAGTCGACAGACTTTTCCGGCGTCTGCAATAAAGCTGGATACGCGGATGACCGTAAAGTTGAATGTCTATAACGGATCTCCATTGTGTTATATACGTTCATTCGTGCACGCGGATTTAACGCCATATATTCACAATTATTGCGCGCATTCCCATGCACGTTCCATACATTAATAAATGAAATGAACTTATTATATCTACCTTTTCGACCTTCGGTTTATGATTTTTTAAATATTTTGTTTTTTTGTGTCAATTGAAAGTGGTGATATATTTTATTCAAGTTTTACTATTTTTTGTAATATAATTAAGAATGATATATTTAACTAATGATATATTTTATTCAATTTTTACTATTCTTTTTTTTGTTATATTATATTCTTAATTATATTAAGATATAACACTATTTAATTATATTAAGATATAATTAAGAATGAATTTTATGATTTAAAAAGAAGTTGTTTGTGATACACGCGTGTTCAACACTTGATAAAGGATCTCAAAGAGTCGAGCTCAGAAAATATCACAATTTTTTCTTGCAAGTGGGATTAGTGCTACACGAAAATGATATTTCGTACAACAATCTACAAACTTGCGTGAAAACTTTGTCTGAAAAATTGCAGAAAGGGAAAATTATCGAGGGGATTCGAACTCACGACCCTTAGATCGCTAGGCAAGCACCTTACCAGCTTACCCGTTCTTCTCCGTATTACTTCCTTCTAATTCATGAAAGAAATTCATACAATGTTCACTTTATAAAAAATGCAAGTTCTATTATAATTTAATTGGCTCTAAGATTAAGTGCTCCGTTTGTTTTATTTCACTATTTAATTTCGCAAACAATCTTATACCATATACGGATTCAACTAGCACAGCAATTTGTATCTTTATTAATCGGATTCCGACGATTACCTTGAACGTTGTGCTATATACACTTCACGCATATAATGATACTGTACAGACATATGTATTTAAGAGCGTATAAAAGAAATATTTATACCTATTGTAAAGTACATTACTGCCGAAAAATATATTGTTGAGTCTGATCAATTTGTACTTTGTATGCAAATTGCAAATTTACATGGAATTGCATAATGACAATTAAATTTCTTGAAAACCGTGTTGCAAGAATTATCAAATAATTAACCGGCAGAAAAATTAATTAAACGTGAAAAATGTTTTTTCACGCAACCGTCTAACTTTGACATCTTCCTACAAAAAAGGGGAACGATAACCGACTGAATGGGGGTATTGTTTCAAAAGAAAAACCAGTTTGCGTAATTAAGGAAACTCGTTATAAAGTTTACACAGCTGTTTACGGTAAAATGACGCAATATCGGAGTAGTTCATGTATCAACTTACCGACTAATATATACAATTTGCAGTAGGATAAATATAGTTTATTTGAATTTTCACACTTCAAATATTACGTCTCACCGCCTTGCTCTAGAATTTTATGATCACACCGCGAGAATGTTCTGTACTCCGTTTAATCGACCCTGACCGTTTTTTTTCGTAGTTTTCAACTTTGCTTAATAATTTAGTGTGTGTAGAGAACCACGTAAAAAGTGCACTGGGAATCAAACGGCACACGAGAGCCAGCGAACGGAAATCCAATAAAGATATCGAAGAAATATGTAAGACATTTATTTGATTTGACTTTAGATTACACTAGAATCTTTTTATCGATGTAAAGCAATGTATTTTTCAATTTTCAAGAGGTTTTGAAACAGAATGGATCGAGGATCTGAAAGTACCTTCCTACATAACAAATAGTAGATTCTAAAATTTTCAAATCATCTAAATCTTTAAATTCCCTAGTTTTCAAATTGTCTAAATTTCCAAATTCCCTAGATTTCAAATTCTTAAATCCTCAATTCCCTAGGAATTTCACACTTTTATTTCCCAAATTCTTAAATTCCCAAATCCCCTAGATTTCCACTCTTACGTTCCAAATTCCCTAAATTTCAAAATTTGTAATTTCCAAATTTCCTAGCTTCCTAAATTTATAATTCCCAAATTCTCTAGCTTTCAACCTTTTTAATTTCAAAATTCCCTAGATTTCTAATTTTTTAATTACGAAAAGCCCCTAGTGTGAAATTATGAATTACCAAATTTCTAAATTCACAAGTTCAAATTCCCCAAATTCCCACTTCTGAAATTCATAATTTGCCAAATTTTCAACTTTGTAAATTCTGGACACTTTGATTCAGCAGGAAGATACTTTCAATTTTGTTTCCGACTCGAGCCGAATATCACCGAACTCGATCAAGGATCTCCTTGTACCCACATTTGATTTTTCTCATATCCCCGTATATCATACTAACTCGCGCTAAACATTTTCGGCCTCCGACAAGCGTTTTCATGCATTCTTGCCGAATGCGATCTCGTGAGTTCCGTTCGTCGCGTCCTCGAGAGGATTGGAGGACTCACCTCGAAGACCTCGAGTTCCAGCGTGTCAACCTCGACGCTCATCGTCTATTCCTACGCAAACTATAAACCTTCTATAAGGCCAACCTCTTCTTCCTCGTGGCACTTTAGACGTGCCGACGAGACGATGTCCGCCTCGCCTCTTACATATTTCCACCTGGGTCCCTCCTCTCCTTCGTCCTCGCGAATCATTGCAGGTGCAGGACGGCATTAGCCCGTTAGCTCTGTCTTCGTTAAATCACGATGTCTCCGTGCAACAGCCTTTCCACTGATCATCCAATCACTACGTCTCTTGATCGGCATTTTTCCCTCGACGATAACATGTATTTACTCTTACGATCACGTGTTTGCTCGCACGATCCGATCGTGTGCTTATACCCTCGGACCTTGCTATCTTACATGAAAGTGGAGAAAGTTGCAGGAATTTCGTTATCTTAATTCCGACAGTCCTCAAATCCAGCCCGACGTCGATCGATCCGAGAAAACTCGGAACAACGTGTTTCCACGATCCAGGCTGTCGAAACGGGAAATGGAAGCATTCGGGTTTCGCGACAACGTCGAAACGCAAGCTCGAAACATTTCAGATCACTGTAGTGCCGTGATCGGGCCGCGATTTTCGAAACTTGCCGGTGGCTCAAGGGGGTCTCTGCAAAGAAATTGTTCTCATGTGATCCTGTTGCATAAGTGGAACGTGACAATTATCGTCGAAAGGTATCAGGAAACGTTAGCCTCTAAAGTCAGATGTATCGTGTTTTTCCCGCGTAAAGAAACATGCAGGTTTTCCCGCATCAATTTAAAAATAACACGGGACTCTTTGTGCGAAAGAATTCCCGGTAAATGTGATTGGAAGTGATTGTCTTTTCGGTCGTAGGGTCGCTCAATACTCGTTTGCACGTCGCTGCGAATAAGCCATTTGATTAATTATCAAAGAACGAAGTAATGGAATTATATGCGGAACTTGTATCTTGATTAAATCGTAAGCGAACACATAGAGGATGAATATGACGCAGATTATTCCTCCACAGGTACTGGTGTTGCTTAAGCGCGGTTACGTATAAATTTTATACTTGTTGCACGACATGAGGGAATATCGTTCGGTTACAAAGGATCAATGCGTTCAATTTATTATCGGAACATTTCGGAGATTGACGTTAATTGAGAAACTTTGACGGAACTTTGTTTTCAAACGATTTATTTATAGAATGAGATATAGGTACTATTGTTGGTTGTGCACGTTTGCAATTTATTAATACCAATTATTGGGATTTAAGTTCGTTGTTTGTTAGAAATAAACGCATTTCAAGAAAAGTATCTTCACTTCTGCCATTCAAAAGAAGTCCGATGGCAGTTTTGAATGTCTCACAAAGATCGATTCGCCAGAATTTACGCAAAAAATTATGATGTCACTTAGCGACGTCTTACGCACAAAAAGATGTATGGTTTCGTCTAAAAAAGACACAGTTAACCTTGAAAACATTGAAGATCTCAGAGATACAAAAAGGTTACGGCAACGTTAGGGTACCATGTTACAAGGGACTCTTGTATGCACGGATAAATAATTAAATAAACTTTTGTGGGTCGAAGTTTTTCGTCTCTCTAAAAATAACATAGAGAATTCAAGTGATCAATGCCCCGCCCATTATACAGGGTGACCGTACCAACACCGCAAACGTTCCGAAGAAAAGTGCTCGCATTTCGGAAGATAAACGAAGGTAATAACGTTAACCTTAAATATTAACCGTCTCCTTCGAAACATGGCTGTCATTAACCCTAGTTTTTCAACCTCTACCACTGTGAAAATCAGCACTGAGAGAAGAACGGTAGCCTGAGTGTTTTAAATAGGACTCTTTGTAAAAGCAATTTAGAGATCGAGTTTGGACATTTGAGGATTTAGGGGTTTGAGTGTTTTGGTGTGTGGGGATTTGGGTGTTGAGGAAAGTTGAAGAGGCAAGAATTTGGGAGTTTAGAGAAATTGGGGATTCAGGGAAATTAGGGATCGTAGAATTTGGGAATTCAGGGAAATTAGAGGTTGTAGAATTTGGAAGTTTAGGGAAATTGGGGGTTGCAGAATTTGGGAATTTAGAGACATTGGAGGTTTTGGATTTGGGGATTTAGAGAAATTGGGGGTTGTAGAATTTGGGAATTGGGAGAAATTGAGGGTTGCAGAACTTGGGAGTTTAGAGACATTGGAGGTTTTGGAATTTGGGGATTTAGAGAAATTGGGGGTTGTAGAATTTGGGAATTTAGAGAAATTGAAGATTCTGGAATTTGGGAATTTAGAGAAATTGGAGGTTGTAAAATTTTGGAATTGGAAGAAATTGAGGGTTGCAGAACATGGGAGTTTAGAGAAATTGGGGGTTGTAGAATTTGGGAATTTCCAGAAATTAGAGGTTGTAGAATTTGAGAATTCAGAAAAATTAAGGGTTGTAGAATTTAGAAAAATTGGAGAATTGGTATATTGGGTAAATTTGAGGTATATGAAAATTTAAGAATTTAGAATTTAAAAATTTGAAAATTTCAGCAATAAAAAATCTCAAGCTTTAACAATTTTGCAACAAATAAATTTGCAAGTTAAACTAGAAAAGTGGACAACTTTAATATTTGAGAACTGAGATACTCAAAGACTTGTAGACTTAAAAATGTAAGAATTTAATTAATACAAAATAAGAATTGTACAGTACAATCATTTACACGCTCCAGATTAAAGAAAAACGACATACCTTCCATTTTCCGAATCGTTACAGTAAATTGATTCGAGACATTTGATTTGTGGAAGCAACGATTGCGAAAGCGACGCAAACCAATCGCGAAGATCGTTACACAGTGGCAAAA